GAGGATTTGAACTCACGACCTCCCGCACAACAGTCTGGCGCTCTACCAATTGAGCTAACTGCGAGTTCTTTGTTTTGGGGCATATACAATCAATTTCATAAGTTCCATTTGTTTTGACCTCTTGTTTCCTTTGTTCTATGTATCTGGAGCCTGTAAAAAAATTAATTCTTACACCAAGGATGAGCTGGCTTGCTTGAAGACTCTGCCATAGTAAATGTATAATGAAGTTGTGTGCGTTTTGCAAAAAGACTGAAAATACAGTGATTTAGCTCTTTGTAAAGCTAATTAATGTGACTATATTTGTAAGTTTTAAGATGATTGGCTGCAAGATTTAAAATAAGTTTTCCAGTTGTCATTGCCTAGATGTACAAAAAAGAACTTGAAAAAAATTGTTTTAAGGTAACTAATGATTGTGAATTGTATGGACAACTCAAAAGTTTCTAAATTCCTTGAACCTTGTTGGTAAAAGTGAATTGTTAAGTGTATGAGTAAATTTGCTATCATTTTATAATTGCTGCTTCTCTTTCCACAGCTCTTGAAACATTCTGGAAGAATCATAGCAGAAATGGAATCCCAGTAAGTTGTAGATTTCATTTCTGAAATTACTAGCCACAAAGCTAAAAATCAAATGCACAATATTATTAAAATATTTTAGAATAGCTGTAAATGTATATGTACATAAACGTAGATTACACAGTGAACTCTGCCCTTTGGAAATGGATATTTTGACTCCATTTTAGAATTCTGCACAGAATGGTGATTGCATACACATTGTGGTAAACCACTTCCTCTGTACCAACAGTATCTGTGGATTACATGCAGAACCTAACCAATTACCTCTATTGGGCTTGTTACAAAAAAAAAAAAACGAAGTTATGTGAATGTATTATTGGAGTCTGTGATCTAACTGACTGTACCTTGTTTTTTTTTTTCCAAAGGTTTGCTGACATTCAGCACAGGTAAGACAGAGTAATAAAAGCTCTTTTTCTTCTTAAAACACAAATTTTAACAATTGATGTAAGGATATACTACAAACTTAAGGTAAATAGTGCTCTTTGTGCTTGCCTATTGGCTAGTTCAGAAGTGATTAACTAGAACTATTGACCTCCAAGAATTGTAAGAGACAACATCAGCAATCAACACATCAAGAGTTTAATTCCAGCCATTTTGCAGTATATTGACAGAAGCAAAATAACTCTTTGCTTTCTGTGTAGTATAATCTGATAAATAGAAATCAAACTAAGTGGAGTGCAATTTGTATAGGTAATCGCATGGGGCCGAGTAAAATTAAGGATTAATATTACGCGTTTTCAGAAGTTGCTGAAATTGCCCTGGTCACGAAGCGACGAGGGCACTATTATCTAAGACTGTAGGCTCAATCAATGTTGACTAGCATGTAATTTCTCTTTACAGTGTCACCCCCAAATCACACTTAAAACCCTTTAACTCCCAAGATCTGATTATAAATTCTCCCCCCTAGCTACTACACAGTTCCTTGTAAATTGGTTATGAGAATTTGGTGTTCAATGAAGGTAACAACTTCTACCTAATAAGTTTGAGTATTCTCAATACCTGTTTGTTGTATCATGTATGGATATTATAGGGAGAAGTTACAGGTTAATCATTTCTGGGAGTTAAAGGGTTAAGGTCGTGAGAATAAACAAAATGGTTGCCAACTTAAGAAGTTCTTGATTGTGATCAGTACCTTACAAAATGTATAAAGAATGGTACAGAGAAGAGGCATTCTGATTACAACTCAAACATTCTGTTTATATTACAGTATACAGACAGTGAACAACATTAATGAACATTTGGAACCAATATCAAGGTGATGGAATTTTTCCTGTCAGTACTTATGTCAATTTGGACTCTGTTTGGATGAACTCCTTACGTGTTAAGGTCATGGGTTACTAAGACGAACCAAACAGTGTGGAGCACTCAGGATTTCTTAGAACTACAAATTAAATTAATTTAATGTTTAATCTGTGGCAAGGAAAATTTCTACAAAAGTCAATCTTACTGGTCAGGGAATGGCCTCCTTCCATGCTGTAGTCTGCTCAGTTGTACTACTGCTACCACTAACAAAGGCAGGTCATATGTATATTTGTGGCTATTGATTTAATTTAATGATTGTAACAGATCTGTACAAAAATATATTATCAATATTAGATCATAATCTACTCAACAAGTGAAATTCATGGCTAATTCAGTGACTTTGAAGCATGCAGATTGAGAACCCTAGTTCTAAGTATGTTACAGTGTGCACTGGACTGTTGACGTTGGCAGGACAGCAGTGAATGATAACAGAGGTGTGGCTGGTTATGCTCCTAGTAACTTACATGTACCTTGTGACTGTATACAGTTACATGTGGTGTTTATTTCGGAACAGAGATTGAAGAACTCTCCAGCTTCTGCACAGAATTCTTTGGCTTAATTTAGATGATCTGTGGTTTTTTTTTTTTTTACTCAGACATGGAGAATATTCTGCTATTCTTTAACACTTCTCTCTTGCTTCTACATTTTGTAATAGAGAACCATGAACTGTGGTTACACAACTCTGTTAATAGCCCCACCTACTTTAGTTGAATAGGTGGGACGGAAAACCCTGTGTTTCCTCAACTGGAGTGAATGACTAAATTACCATACAGCATTTGCAAAAATCAACTATGTCCTATGTGCTATGCTGTCACTCATTAACAAAAGCAATCTTTGACTATTTTCAAATTTGGACAGTTACCACATGTGTATTTATTTATTAACTATTCACCAAACAGTACTGTGCTCATGTACTTATTATACAAACTTGCAACCTCAGTTCAATGTACCATACTTTTGGTGGTGCAGAACAGAAATTAGGTCAAACAAATAGTTAGCTGGCAGCAAACTGTTGAGGAAACTTGACAACTAGCTGGTTGAATACTAGTGATGGAGGAAAATTTAGCTGAGAAGGTGTAGCCATACACCACTATCCATCCATATGCTTCATGCTCAGGATCATAAGTGACCTATTGCGGTAAATCTTCTTGGTTAACCTACTCAGGGTTTGCTCAATCAGTATCCATATATACATGTATCTAAATCAATACATGTGCTTGGGGATAAGTCCCACCAAAGCTGTGCCGATGGACATATTCAGTGCACTTTATACACCACATGAAAAGGCAATTAATGTTGAGAAAAACATAAATTGTCATTGTTTGTCATCCAGGTGAGCCAAGACCACAGGCTTGATGTGTGAAGTGCATTTGCATGTAAGGTTAACATGGGAAATTACAAGAGGGCATGGTTCAGGTATGAACACTTTAGACCAGTCCGTCATACAGTGACAGTGCCTGCACAATTGATGGATCAGACTTGGAGCCCTCACGAAATTCCTCCATTGACAACCTGCCATCAGCATTCTGAGGAACAGAACACAGCATTTTGAGAAAGCAGCACTGAAGAAATTCATGAAAGAATAATTTAAGTCCAGAAAGGAAGTACTTGACAGAAATATGAGTTTAAGCCAATTTATAAGTTTGAAAACCAAAGTTGGAAACAGTTAAATTCTAAGATACATAATTTGTTCAAAGTCAAGGCTAAATGGAGACACTGAAAGATGCAGCTTTTTAAAAAGAGTCTCCAAGGTGAGAAAAAAGACTCACAATTCAAAGATCTCAGGAGTAGTTCTCCCGCCTTACAGCCTGCCATACAATTCTTATGATGTTGGTTTGGAGAATTTGATATCAGATCAACTAATAATCCCTTAATTGATATTTTTTTTTATTCTCATCACTTGTCTGCTTGATATTGATTTTGATGTTGTAATGAGAAATTCTGTCTTGGTCACATATTGGAGTTAAAGGGTTAATCATTGGACTAATTCACATACACATTTAATTTACATCTAAAAATCTTTTGGCTTTGTATAAACTTAAATTTTCATGGGGGAGAAAATGAATAAATGAATGCAGGCATAACAAAAGTTCAAATCTTGAGACTGCATTACCACAAAATAATTTGATTTTATCAATAACAGTTACATGTTGATGAGATATAGACACAGTTATCAGATATTCCTATCCACACATCTGTGTAATGTAATGTATTTACTGTACATACAGTATCCATTTGATTGAAAATTCTATTCACTCTCTTTTCTGGAGTGTCTTCATCCTCTGGTAACTTTACCATGCTGGCCTGTAAAAGAGTAAACTCTGTAAGATTGTTTTACAAACTGAATTAAAAAATAAGTTTTTTTAAAAATGTCTACACTAATTTCCAGTATTCCAAACCTTACAAGGGCTCAACACTAACTTTTCAACTTACTAGCCAAGTGGCTGGTGACAACTTTGATGTAACAACAATTTCAGTTCATTTACTAGCCAAACTGGCTAGTGGAAATTGAAAACCACAAGTCAAAACTGAATTTCTACTAGTCTGTAGCTGGTTGGCAATGGTAAGTGTCAAGCCCTACCTTACACTAGTTTATCAACTTTATTGGTCTTATAAGTTATACATATACAGAAATAAAAGAAATAAAAAAAAAAGGACCAAATGGGATTACGTGAACGGAAAAAAAAATCCCATGTGAGGCGCAACCCGAAATCTAAAAAGAAAAAATATATATCCAATATAAAAAACTAAAATTTTATTTAAATAAGTTAACTAATGATTAAATTTAGATAGTGTACAGTCACTGAAAACTCGTATGAAAACCCTTTACCCCGATCCCATCACATTCAGTATGCATTTTCTCACTATTGCTCTCTATAATTTTCTACAGTGCTAATGAGGAGAATTTGTTTAAAAATCAAGAGCTTCACTATTAATTGATGATAATTTCTATAATTCTTGTAACCTTAATGTGTGATTTTGGGGTGATATTGTGGGAGAAAATAAATAAAAGCTAGTCACTCCTAGACGTCAAAAGGTTTGAAATGTTAAGTTTTTATGTACAGCTTTACAGAAAAAAAATTTCCTCCCTTACCACCATTTTGTAAATTGAATCCACTATGTGAAGCATTTCCTGTTTCGTTATATAGCCATCGTCATCCAAGTCATACAGCTTAAAAGCCCCTGAAACAAAAAATATATTTTTCACCTCTTGGATAAAGAATTAAATGGGAGATAACTTGCAATAGATATCGATCTGTCTGTCAGACAATGGGCTTTTGGATGTAGAATGAATTATTAAAAGGAATTTTTATGAATCATTAATATTTCACTTTTAATCTTACTCGCATTTCCACACATTTCACTTCAAAGTGAGAATCATTATGGGCCAGGTATTACTCCCGACAAAGTCAATAACTCCTGGCTTCCTCCTTTTAACAACAAAATATTAGTCACTCACACTGCAGTTTTTCGTGGTATTACTCCCGACACAGTCAATAACTCCTAGCTTCCTCCTTTTAACAGCAAAATAATTGTCACTCACACTGCAGTTTTTCATGGTATTACTCCCGACACAGTCAATAACTCCTAGCTTCCTCCTTTTAACAGCAAAATATTAGTCACTCGCACTGCAATTTTTCATGGTATTACTCCCGACACAGTCAATAACTCCTAGCTTCCTCCGTTTAACAGCAAAATATTAGTCACTCACACTGCAGTTTTTCATCAATACTTCCTCTTGATGTTACTGACAGGGCACAGATGAACTCTCTAAATTCAATAGTCCCATCCTGAGTTAAAAAATACCACAAATGTCAGCTTTGTTCCAGATGAAAATCAGTCATGATTTATTTGTATTAACCAACACTCCCTAGGTTCTAAATATTTATGAAATGCACTGTCTGCTGACTTTCCTTTTTATTCTAGGACTGAATGTAGGTGTCAGATTAAACAATATCACTGTTCTGCCTGAAAATGTATTGATTTTGAAAAGAGAAAGGGTTTAGGATAATTTTTCAAATTTGACTTGGACCATACTGAGATCCTTATCTTATTGCAGATCTTGATAAAAAAGGGAATCTGGAATTAAAAACCTTTGGGACAATTAAAATGCACTGTAGGTCACTGTCCATGATAAGTGTGATACACAATTTAACGCTCATTCAATTGAAGTAGTCAAATCTATTAACATAATTGTCAGTGCTACAATTGTCTGAACGCCCTAAAATTTTCAATTGTCTCTTGATGTCCGCAGATCAATCACTTTTCTTGATCCATGGTGAGCTCCAAAAGTGCTATAACACCTGAGATCTTACTTGAATAATTTAAAGATTGCTAATGGGAAAGGAAGGCATGTAAATGAGAATTCATTATCCCTGAAATTTTGAAATAAATGACTTTGTAGATACATTTTGGCTAATCATTTGCCTACCAAGGTTGTGGTGAATTTTTTTAAAGGGGAATATGTAATTTCTGCTTAGTAATAATATTTGCACAAATTTAAGTTGAAAAAAAATCCATTTTCTTGGAAAAAATTGCATCATACTAGGGGTTATCAATTATTAAAAAGAAGGAGAAAAAGTTAATTTTTCTCCTCAGCCCTAATAAAAATGTTTTGGTGAGCTTCCTAGTCTTTCTACTTTGCGTTATTTTTCCCCCTGCATGTTGTCATTGTGGATGATACCCTTATTCTCTCTATAAAGAAGATAAACCCTGAATTTAGTCAAAACAATATCTATCTCCAAGAGCTTATCACTTAATTTAAAATATTAAATTATTCTAAAATATTCTATGGCCAAGACTATGGTGCGTTTTCATAAACTTTCTCGTTACAGCAAAACTGTTCTTCCGTGACCACTATCGCTCATCGACACTTGAGAAATCATCGAGCTACTACACAAATGAAAGCAACTGTTAATAAAAGGAAACCATTCGTGCTTGAATTCTCAAGTAGTCGTGATCGATTCTCCGAACACGCTCTATGAACACTTTTCCAGAGGTAGCATTGAAAAATTAAAAAGATGGAATAAATGTATTGTTTACATTTACGAGTTTCGGCAAAGGATGTTGTAAATTGAAATACACAATAAGACCGATTTATCATAATGAGAATAAACAGTTTGATTTCTAGCGATAATTAAACCACCGGTTCCATCGCGAAAAGTAGAATCTTTCTCCCAGTTTGCATACCAGAATACATCTTAGTTTAAAAATAAAAACGTAAAATTAGCCTGAATCGGTGTACGCTATTCTCTGGAATTGTTTAGAGTATAATTATACAAATTGGTTTTTGTCATGAAATGTATACAAGATGTTTTACAACACATGCTGTTCTCCAAAAAAACAAGATATCAACTGTCGACACAGCGTGTTTTATGGCTTAACTTCGCCACGTTTGTAGAAAAATAAAATCCAGATCTTTCAGTAAACTTTTATCCACAAATTCCATGGAATTTTTCGAAGGAAAATTATCTTCTGTTACTACCTTGTTATTACTACCTTGTTATTTACCTTATTTTCGTCGAACACGTTGAAAACAAAAGAGGCAAACTTGGATGGATCGCCAAATGGAAAGAACTGTTTGTAAATCTTCTGGAACTCCTGAGAATAAAGGAGACCAGAGAATTTACTTTGCAACATTTTCGCAAGTTTTAATTAGTTTACTGAATCGTTTCTAGACAGAAGTCAGAGCGCAAGTTACCCCGGTGCTTCACGTAACATCCTAAGCGTACTAAATGCGAAATCGCACAATAAAATTAAGATGTTCAGAAGACTACCAAATTTTAGGATAAATTTTACTTACGAGTTCATTAAGGTTGCCCGAAGGACAGTCTTTGAGGAAACCTTTATACCTATAAGAGGTATAGATCGTTTAAATTAGCACTTCTGAATTCAAGTTATCGACAGCTCTTAATAATTCGCAAACCATCTCCTCTAGAGCACGAACACCTTTGCATTACAAGAACTTACCATTGCTGCAATTCCTTCTCGGTGACTGAAAAAAAAAAGTAAACACAATCAATTAAAAGAAGTCTTCAAAAAATGTTTCCCGATGTAATACACCCAAAGTGCCTCAAATCGATTCCTCGCGGACAAACGGTCGAGGACAGCTGGACGTCATACATGCAGTTGTTTCACAAAGATAAAAGCAGCAATAGTGATACAATAATAGAAGCATGTCGGTGACTCACAATAGGTTTTGCGAACCAGCTCGTTGACCAATTCAGGCTTTAACTTGCAATTCTTTTGCCCCATTGCAATGAAACCCAAAGGATTAATTACGATGTCGTTCCCAATTACCACACATTCTCGGTAGAAGTAAGCTCTGTCTCTTGAGATTTTTTGAAGTATATGACATTATAACGTTGTCATGGAGATTGCGTTACAGCCAGTGACGTTACTTTACATTACAGTTACTTTACACTACAGTAACTATTTTTCGCCACTAAATATTTCGTAAATACTTTGGACTCCAGAGGAATCTGTTTTGTGAAACGATTTGTGATGCTATGGCCTTTCGGTCGCATCTGATAATCTGTACATCTGCCAGTCGAAGGTCTGAAAGATAATCATGAAATGCACCGCTTTTGGATAAAAAGTATTTCATCAGCTTTTAAATCCCATTAACCATCGGATCAAAGGTATAATTATTTTTCGATATATTATTGTTAAGTAACCAAATTGAATGAGTAGGGCGCTTCTTTATTTTAAAAGCGTAGATTTTTTGCCATTAATTCAAACTCTCGGCAAGAGGTTATTTTTCATTATTTAAGTAACTTTGAAGGTTAATTTTTTTTTTTTTTTTCAGAAAACTACTGATAACACATTCCAATATTATGAAGAACAGTTTAAATTTAACACATTCTATTATCATTCATTTTAAAAAGAAAGGAAACGATCTTATGTTTCGTCCAAAGAAAAACAATTTCTCAGATATTTCGTTAGTCAGTGATTTCTCACCGGGGATTTCATCCTAATTCGAAATTGGCATAAATTCAAGTTAGTGAAATGTTTTGTAGGCGCATTTTTTGTTTCAGTGTTTTTTCTACGACGATCCCACAAAATCCAGATTACATGACACAACTTACGATTTGGCTGACAGAAAAAATGGAAACAAATAAAATCCGCATCAATATTACATTAGGCGCAGTTAAAATAATCGGAGTAAAATAAAGCCAAATGGAATAGTACTCACAAAAACAAAAATGCGTGAGGGTATACAAAAAAACCCCAGTGCGATACAATGCGCGGCGAAGTCTTATGACAATCGAAAGAAAAATTTGAACACAGTAGTACTGACGGTTTTTTCCGGCAGATGAGAGATAAATTAAAATGGGTTGGTAGTGATAGTAAACCCTTAAAACACCATCAGCCAATCAAACTTGCTCGTTTAGCAAGAAATCTGGCGCGAAGAATGAACCAATCCCGATCAAGAAGCAACCCACGTGGGAAATGTTATGTTGAATCGCGATTAGTCGGCCGGGCAATGAAAGCGGTACTTACACCACATACCGGGTGAGATAGAAATTGATGGGTTCGGTCGCATAAATCAATTTTTTTCCGATTTTTGTGCACATGATGTGTACCAAAATCGGAAGAAATAGATTTAGACACTGAAGTATCGATTGTTTCCTGCGTAGAACAGTGGTAAACCTTTAAAATGGGTCGGCCGTAATGGTAAACCCTCACAAGTCTGCCAGCCAGTCAGGAAAGAGTTTGAGCTTCCTGGTTCATTATGAAACCTGGCGCAGTTTTCAAAGTCTTCACTCGGCTTCTGACAAACAAGCAAGCAAGCATGGTTTTGTGTGTAAGCTGAATCTATATTTTAGTTATCACTCGTTTCATCTACGACCAAAAATTATTCCACAGTAACGTCTAAGGTTGTTGGAAAGGGAATGAAAAAGGTTGAACACAAAGTAAGTGTTATCAATTGACTTCTGTTTTGAGTTACTTATCTTAAGACAACCAGTAATCCTTGACATGTTTCAGCAAGACATAACTCAGAATCTCCTAAATCTACAATTACCATCATTTTTTTTTGCAGTCGTGATTTTCAGTGGAAAATGAAGGAAATCTTAACAAGAATTGAAGAAGTCTCGCACATGAACCAAGCGCATGGTTTCACACAATGCTCGCGACCTTTCATCAACAGATAGATGGCTAGATAGCTTTATTAGGAAGTAAAATCATTGTAGCCCCCGGGCCGGCTGAAATACGACTTACTTTACAATGGGAATAAATTATCTCTTACTCTAAGATAACTACAATAAAAGCCGCAAAGTGTAATCTACAATAAAATACAATAAGAGAAGTATCAAAAACCAAAATACAAATAATTAAGATAGCTAATAATAATTAAAACTGTTCGCCATGATAAATGTGTTTTAGAACCTATTTGTCTTACAAATCGGTAGCTTGAAGTATCTCTGGCTGCGGGTGCGATAGGTGGACTCGTTGCGTGGAGGCAGCAGATCATGGAGCTTGTGGTTTTCGTCCCTTACAATCTGATCAAATAGAGCATCACACAAGATCTCCCTCCTCTCGTACAGTGACGCAATGTCAAGAGCTACTAGAGCCTCAGCGTAGGATAAGTCAGGTTCAATCATCCGCAACGCGCGTTTTTGCAACCTTTCCATTTCATTAGACAGATATTGCGGCAAAGAATGATGAAAAACTGGGCACGCATATTCTAATACAGGGCGTATACATGTTGTATAGAAAAGTAGCATATCCTCAGGTGGAACTTTAGCGCGCTTTAGCTGTTTTAGGAAGTACAGACGCTTCGCAGCCTTTTTGCATATAGATTCTACATGCGCGTTCCACCTGAGGTTGTCCGAGACCATCACTCCTAACAACCTTGCGGATGAAACAACTTCGATTTGCTTGTCAGTCATTGATAGTAATATGATCAAACTTACTACCTGATCTGGAGCTCAGTTCTTTACATTTGGACTCATTGAATTGGAAACCATCAACTTCTGACTGTCTTACCAGTTCATTTACACGTAACTGCATGTAGCTAGACTCATTCTTCAATACTGTTTCGACAAGAGTGGTGTCATCAACGTATTTCCAAATAATTGTGTCTGCTACAGAAAGATTATTTATCATGATAAGGAACAGCCAGGGGCCCAATTTCGTCCCCTGTGGCACCCCTGCAGGAACAGCTTCCCACTCCGAGAAGCAATCACGGCTCAGTTTTATCCTTTGCTTACGGTTCGTTAAACCGAAACACGAATTTCTCCATGTAAGCATTTATCTGTTATTTAGCTTTTCGGTATGCAATTTCATCACTAACTTTTAACCAGAGTTTCTTTAAACTTTTGCAATGGGTATTTTTTTTAATGCAAATGCAACAGTGGCCTAAGAACGTCCTTTTACAGCAAACTCAAAATGGAAATCTATCCTAAAAAATTTTCAAACAGCATTTATGAAAAAAATGATTCTTTTTTAATCAACCTCATTGCATGTTGTTCTCCGTTTTGGACTTAAACTCAGTTCCTCTTTCTAAATCAAATTCCCGCATAGAAACTAGGCGAACCGGACCGTGCTTAACCATTGGCGCGAAGCGATTTTAGTAACGAAAATCCATTTTTATACGAAAAAGCATTGTCCCCTTTCATGATATTCATGATATTCTTCTCTTTTAGGATAAAAGTTGTTCGCAAACTTACTGAACTTGGAGTTTCTTAAAAAATTGGCCGGAAAGGTTTTCAGTACCCGGAGGTTAGGATAACAAGACAAAATATTCTTTTAGAAACAGTTTTCAATTTAAAGGTACCTGAATCTGTCATAAAATGTTTTTGTTGTCTTGAAGGGAATATTCATCTTCGTTTTCATCATGGTACGAAAAAAAAATCGACATCAGGGATGAATTCCGTCGTTTGCATTCAACTTTTTTTTGGTCTGAGCTCACTCGAGAACTTTGCATGTGATTGATGCGACTTTTACCTTTCCTAAATGGGTTGCTTTTCAGGTTTATTTGGATAGAAATGGGCATTTGGTCAGCGGCAAATTCTATTTGGATTCGATTGTGCTTCATTCTAGTCTCCCCGCAGTCGTGATGTTTCGGTCACGCAACGCTCCCTCACCCACAGAGTCAATGAGGGAGCGTTGCGTGACCGAAACATCACGGCTGCGAGGAGACTAGCTTCATTCCAGTTTAAAGTTAAACGGCAAGAGTACCATATAACCCCATACATTAATTATGCATACGGTGAAAATTTACAGAAATGTACAGGGGGTCCAAAACGCGGATCACGGGTCACGGACCACCACCCGTGAGTCGCCTTCTGTAACTTGCACTGAATGCATGCACAGTCAATTCGTTTGTCATGATAGAGGAGTTGTAAGAAGCCGTATGTGATTTGGTGAAAAGGTGTTCTAAACTGCTCGGAAAGAAAAAAAGTCACTAGATTTTGGTGCAACCCACAATATGTGCTTTCGTCAGTGATTGCCATCCATTTATGTATAGTCTACAGGATGTCTTAGAAGCTGATCTGCCTGAACACTCACAGCTAGTGGTCCCCCTGTAGTGAGGGATTTCAAGTTTTTTCTTTATTTGGGGTAAATTTTAAATTCGTCAAGAAACTTTTGAAGACATGTTTCGGCGTGACTTATACTCATGTCATATCAGTTAAATGTTTTAAAAAACAATTTACTGCCAAGCGATGATTGGTAACAATTGCCCCGAGTTTGCACCGCAATTCTTCCCAGTTAATAAAGCGGATTGTGATGAAGATTACGTCTAAAGCAGAGGACGAATACTTGGTGGGAAGAATGACAAAGGGAATCGACAAAAACTTAAAAAAACTTTCAAAATCAAACCTATCGAAAAGGTAAAAGCTTCAGCAGTCTTAGCAAAACATTGCTACTTACAGTACTTCCTTAAATTACTGAGATATCTGCAGCAAGTAAAACTACTCAGCCGGATTGTAGAGATTGTTGAACTGTGATTTGCCAGGGATTGCATCCTTCCTTGCTCTAATCATTCCGCAAGATGAAATGGCTGCAACTGGCTTCTAACCAGGCATTTAAACCTGTTAAACACTTCTGTGCAAATTAAATTTTGTACAACCACAAGTTTTATCTTGTTTGATAATAGGAACTACCTACCAGAATCCACTTCTCTGTTTTTTAATGTGTGACAAGATGAACGTGAAGACGCAAACTAACAGCTACATTTTTAATTTACTCTGATAATCACCTGATCAATTCTGAATTATTGGTGAAGCCACATTGGTATCATCCATCTTATTTAATTGAAGCCATAACAAGAGTTTGCATCTTTCAATGTAGATAAATTTATAATAGACAAAGTGTTTCCCATGAAATAACTATTTAAAATGTCATTACCAACTGGTACTTGTTTAACACCCATTTAATGATAGAAAATCAATTTCTCCTTGAAAATGTTATCTTGGCTCTCTGCAATAACTATTCCAAGTGTTGCACTACGTCACACTGTAGGACCTAACACAGAGATATTTATAACAACTGCAAAGGGCTCTACATTAAACTATACCAAGAGAAAATTTGAGACCTACATCATTTCATACTTTCAAACATTTAAAATTTTTATACACACTCTTTAAATAGTCACTAACAGATACAAAAGATCATATACACCTGTTAACAAGAACCAAATCACAAATAATAAATTATTTCACACCTTACTTAATGAATATTTTACAACTCTAGCATAAGCAAAAAAACGAGTGTTTGCATTGTTGTGATAAATGTCCATTTACATTCTAATTTTTAACAAAAATTTGCACATTGCAAAGATCACTTAAAGGTTAAAACTTCAACACAGATATGAGGCGGGCTTGGAGACACTTCAACCAACATTTTTGGTCTCCTAGATACAAGTATTCAACAGTGCCTCTTATATGTGCTAGATAACATCAAGTACACCATGATAAGCTACATGTTCCACTGATCAGTGAAAGCTATAAAATCAATACTTTATCTCTCCATAGATGATAAGGCATATCCTTGGTAATAATCCTCTACCTCCATGAACAAGAAAACCCTCCATTGCAGTGATGCAATTATTTATAAGCTAAATCTATTCCCATCTTGTTCCCATTCTGTACTCTATTCAGCATATATTCCTTTTCCTTGCAATTTCATGTTAAAATTCACTGCGCTGTGAGAATAACTTCTCAACTGTTATTGAGAATTCTTTACCTTTATGGGTCAAACTTCAGAAGAGCAGCTCCCTAGAGAGACCATGAAATGTGAAAAATAAAAGCCTAGCAAATTAATGAAAAATGTTGACCTGTTCAATGAAAGTTGTGAGGCTATCTGTAGGATAATTTGAGGATTAACTGCTGCTAGCTACATGCACATGTAAGTGTAGATCACACTTTCTAAGGAATTGATTTGTGGTTCAGTCTTCATCAGCTTGTGAGGGATCCTCCTGTGGTAGATCAATAGCTAGGGCCTGCACTATCCAAGGGTCACACTTGGAACCTTCACGAAACTCCTCCATTGTTAACTTGCCATCTTTGTTCTACATGTTGTTAAAGACAACAATGTAAAGTTTGTTAGTGCTCCATCTGCCCTTTCATATGCATCAACTGGGGTAAATATTAGAAAAACTAAACATCAATACTATTACTGTGTGTTTTCTAGTATCACAGAGAGGGAATTTCATTATTTTGTTAATCACCTTGTCCATTTGTTTGAAAATCTTGGTTACTCTTTTTTCTGGCGTATCTTCATCTTTTGGCAAATCTATAATATTACCCTACAAAACGGAATAAAAAAAAAAGCCATTCCCATTTAATTTACACTACTGGTGATAGCAACATTTTGATTGGCCATGAAAAATGCAGTTTTCACCGGTAATGTTAGAGACAATTCAGTAGAAAGGGGTAATTCAGTGTACAAGAAATTAACAAACTGTTTGGCTGCCCTTTAAACTTCTCTGTACCAAAAAACAATTTAAAAAAAATAATTGGGAAATTGTTTCGCTTGAATGTGTTTGTTTTGACCCAATGCAAAATGAAATTTGCAAGGTCTGAATAAATTACTTTTACAGGTGATTCATGCCCTTCACTTCTGCTAGACTATCTCAATATTTTTAACATAAATTGTTGACAAATAATTACACATTTACATTTTCTCATGATGCAATTTAAAACGAACAACAATCTTATATTTTTTTTAAAGATTACTTGTGCTTGTACCGCAGGCTCAAATCTTATTTACACTTATTTAGCAAAAGTGCATCTAAAATCATGTGACAACTAATCAGATAATCAACAACGTTGGAAAACTTTTTCCAGGGGAATTTCCTTGCCCCTAACGAAAATTTATTCACAGGTTACAATTTTTGTTTTCACTTTCTAAATCTCTGGCTTAGTGAAAATAAATTAAATTTTAGAGCAACAGTTGACATACCACCATAGAGTAGATTGCTTCCACAATCTTTAGCATTTCATCTCGTGTGATGTATCCATCTTTGTCAAGGTCATAAAGACTAAATGCCCCTAAATGACAAATACATAATTTTTTATCATGAACACATAAAAAATTTATGAGAGCAATACTCAAAACAGTCTTCCAGTAACTGAAATAATTTACAATAAAAACTAAAAGCTGGTGCTCTGCCTTGTCATAGCATGGAACCTCGCAAGCCCTTTCCAGCCCCAGAACTGTGCCAATGGGAGCCTTGTCGCCCTTGTATGTTCAACCATGCTAGAATGGTCAGCAGGAGAGGGGTCAGATAACACAGCACTCTGGCCCTCCAGCACACACACCCTGTAAACTTTTATTTGCTACTAAAACATAAGCTAATTTCTTAAAGCAACCAGCTCTGGTTATTCATCAACTTACAAACTGCCTAAAAATTACCATCTTTTTTAATCTGCAGGTACAACACACATGCATGTAATGCTATTGACTGTACCAGATTGCAGGTCACTTAACATGCACAGACCTAAGGTAGCTAAAGGTCTGCTTCACCAGCAAATTCTGTGCCTCAGTTTGTGAAGAATGAGAACATGAAATTGAAACAAAATGTTTCTTTACTTAAAGTAGGTATTTTGTGAAAAACAAAACAGAAAACAAAAAAGACAAAAAAAAAAACATGACTGGAAACAATACTCACACTCTAATTTCTCATCCAAACTTCCTCGGGAAGTAATTGATAAGGCAGTTATAAACTCAGTGAAGTTAATTGATCCATCCTTGTATGAGAAAATAGAAAATTTTAAAAATCTTAATCAAAATATTTGTACCAAACTGTAAATCAGTCTACAAAAATCTTAGTTGTGAATACAACAACCTCTGTGCCTTTATTCCTAGCCCAAAACACAAGGAGAGGCAAGCAGCAGCTACTTAAACAGGCTAGAATGATACTTACAGAGTTTTTGTCAAAAACTTTAAATACAAAGGCTGCAAACTTTGATGGATCACCAAATGGAAAAAACTGCTGGTAGATTTTTTGAAACTCCTGTGTAAAAGGAAAAGAGGTCTATTTAATTTGTATAATACAATTGAAAGGTTAGTTATTAATGAATTTGTAGCAAGAGGTACCCTTAAAATTTTTCTTCCTACTTTTTGATACTCACTGTATTTCATGCACACCTCACACCACTAAACAGAGATAATGCATTGCTATTGTTTTCCTCTAGAAAAGCTTATTTTCATGTTGCAAATTCTTTGCTAATGACAAATTAACGTGCTAGTATTATTCCTTCAAAAAGTATGATCGATTTAAATATTTTATGAACTTCAGAGTACTATTTCCTCTGATTAAAAGTTTTTTTCTTTTTCCCAATTCTTAACCAAAAATTAAATTCATTATGGTAGTTAGAATTGAAGAGTTTTGATAAAAAAAAATTGTTTTGCATTGCGAATCAGTTTTGAAATTCTTTAGGTATCCTTCTCCTGTCAATTTGCCATACTTTGCAATCAGATGTTAAGTTCAAAGATGCACCTAAAACATGCACCTAAAACATGCAGTTACAGATTGCTTTATTACCCAAGAACATATTTCATGGTAATTGTCAAGATGAGATGGAAATCTGAGGACAAAAATACATGGACCTTAACTTCAACATTTACTTGCTTTATCAAGTAATAGGATGCAAATTTCTGATAGAACTCTTTCAAAGGCAAAATTAATGCAACTTTGCATTCACCAAACATGTTAACATACAATTTAAATATTGTCTGGGAAAATACCAGCTGTATTCAATCTCTTCTTCTTGGAACTGTAATAATGTGAACATACCAAATAGTTTTTAAAAGCAACACTTTCTAAAAGTATTTAGCATCACTAGAGAAGAAAGCTGTACCATACAATTAATGTTTGGAACTAAACAGTAAGAAAGCAGTCAACCTCCAACTGCTCACACATTGAAGTAGAATAGCAGCCAAAAAACAGATTTAAATGCTAAGCATTACAAAACAAATATGCAGAATAAATAATCACAGTGATGGGACTTCAATTTTTCTTAGATTTGAATTCCCCTGATAAGGTATTGTTTTCAGTCAAGATAATGTACTAACATCAAGTTAAACAGAATTAGTCAGAGAAAAAATTTGACAAAACAGTACAAATAAGAAATACGACTTAAGCTGAGATAACACTTTGCATGTTGTAAATTTTTAACTGTCAAAAAAATAAATAATACATCAACCACTTACTCAAAACACACATTATGCATAGCTAAATCATATCATGGTGAAGCAAAATAAACATGACAGCAGTGGTAAAAGATACTGAATGAGTAAACACTAATGAAATTTGCAGATTTTAGTTTCAACTTGTAATATTATACAAATGTTACAAGCCAAATGAATTATTTTAAAACCCTATTCTGGCCCAGAAAAGAAATAAATTGATAGTTATCTGCAATTTCAGTACGCCTTAAAATTCTTTTAGCAAACTAAGATATCGATGGAGACGCAATCTAATTGCATGGTGTGAAAAAAGAAGCCTTGTGTACGTATTTCGGAGTTTAAAGACGGTGTCAAAAGGTACTAATATGAACACAAAAGAAACAAACCTGACGATAAATATATGTAGCTTGACATACTTTACGTTAGAGATGTCACTTAAGTCATACTAAAAGCAAAGAGTTGTATATAACGAATTTACTCCACAATAGAAAAAGACGAATACAAAGAAGCTTTAGGTACAAAATGGGAAGCCTTTATGCTACGATTTCATCACATATCATTCTGACATTACTTAGAACCTTAAAATTAACAAAAAGTGTTCGCTACAAAAAGCCCCGCAATGCAATGGTTGGAAGTTAAATCATCTTAGCTTAAAAATTTCCGGCGTTCGTTAAAGAATAAGATGACAGGTTAACTGTTTTGTAATTAGCGAGCACTGACCTCTTGTCTAAGCTCACCGGAGGGGCAATCTTTCATGAAGTCTCGATACCTAAGGGAAACACAGCGACGTATTCAGCAAGCCGAGTCCTTAGTTTGCAAAAGCTTCCACTACATGAGTATCAGCCTTGTTAGCAAATTATTTCCCTCCAAAACAAACCTAACACGGTTGTTGACGAGAGTCTGCCAACTTATGGTAATTACTGTCAACAAAACACTTCCATTAAAGAGCGTTTCACCAAATAATAGTCTTGCACTTACCACTTTTGTAATTCCTTTTTATCGACTGAGGGAAGGAAAACAAGGTACGTTCTGGATTAGCGCTAAAGTAAACAAATACTATAATATAGGTTGCAGACCAAATCGATTACAATATTCAAATACTATATGCTGTTTCTTACACTAACAACTAGGTAATTAATATGGCTATAAACTTACAGTAAGTGCACTTAAGCAGCTCTCGCATCTCTTGCTGAGTTAGCTTACTCCCTTTGTGCCCCATGATGACAAGAACAGTAATTCAATCAAGCTAGCAGCATATCTTTATCACCTGAAAACCACAACTCCACAAATTGACCGCCATCTTAGCTTAGATTACCCAGAATACCTTACGATGTTATTTGGGGACGAGTTCTGAAAAGCAGCCAATCAGAGAGTATTTTTATGATTCTTCACTTGATTAACTTTTCAGTGTGCTGTGAAGCCCCTCAATAGTTATCATTCATCAAAATATTGGAGATAACTATTGTTTTCACCAATCCCGAGGAAAATAATCGTTTTAGTATACACCATTAAGGTGGTCTTCCACTCAAATTTTAAAAAAATTCAGTTTATGCTTTACCTAAGTTATTTAAGTACCATTGGAGAGATCACCTCAAACTGATACTTTTAAGAATTTTGATAGACATGTCGTTGCCATGGTAACCAAGTTTTGGGCCCCCAACTGTGAAAATAATGGTGTTCTTGTAAAAAGGATATCTCAAGAACTAGCGGTCCTATTCACCTGAAATTGGTATCAAAACTAAGTACAAAGATGGCTTTATGTCATGAACCTCAGAAAACCCATATTTTTTATGCCAAGCTATTATAAAATTGCAACTGTTCCTTGATTACAACATTTTTGTTTGTATTATCACCATGGATACATCTGTCAACAACCATGTAACTAAAAATCACTAATAATTTTAGGTTCACAACACAGAACTATACTCAAGCAAACCTCCCTGAAAATTTCATCCCTTTTGGTTTAATACTTTTCAAGAAATCCTTTTTGCCGTGACGGGCACTCTCTCAAAATTGCAAAACTGAGAAAATCAAGTTTAAAGATTTAAGTTGATCAATCAAAATAATCACTAAAGCAACTGGTGCCTTTTGGAAAGTTTAAGCTAAGCTCTTTGATGTTCTCATTAAAATGCACCAGGTGCATATATGTCACCCTCCTTTTCCTGGGATTTGTCATTTTTTTTCTTTCTTTTTCCCCTGAGTAGCCTCCTCCTTGTCTTGTTCTTCTCTTGGAACTTGTATTCAGCTTTCAAAACACAAATCTTGTCCAACTGCTGGCATTCATTTATACAGAATTCACCTGGGGGAATTCCAAGACTCTCAAACACTTTAATAGCTGCTCTTGAACCAATATTAAAGTGAGCGACAGCATCATAAACCCCCAGCTGCAGTACTTCAGAACCAACAAACACCCCCTTTGGCACACGCTCCCAAACCATACCATTGAGTGACTCATTCTGGTTTTGAGTCTTGCCATCAAGACATTTGCTGAGAAGGCTGTCCTCACTCAACCTTTTATAAATGGGTTTGATTTCCTCTCTGACATCTAAAGGTAGGCCAGTTCCATGTTTGAAAGTGTTTGTCCTATTGAGCTTGTCCCGCTGAAAACCACACCAGCTTTCAGGACCCTCAGGGCAATGCCCATGGTAATTACTGTCTGCAGAAGAAGCACAGTGAAACAAGCTGGCATAAATTGCCTTGTTCATGGCAGCAAGATCACCTGAGTTGCTTCGAATGGCAATTCCATAGTAATTTTGCAGTCTGTCAATCATGGCATCTGTCAGCCTGCCTTTCCCACCCATCCCTTTCTTTTCCTTCTTTAACTTTCGTAAAGCTGTTCCCAGTCGTTTTTGAACATGGCCAACACATTCCTTCTTTTGAACTTCAATATCATAGACTTGGTATACATCTTTGACTAATGAGTAACTTTTGCTGTCACCATCGCCATAATATTCATCATACTGCAGCTTATGCAGATCTACTGACCTTTGAAACATTCGAAGGGCCCCTTCTGGTTCCATAGCTGCTGCTGAACCCTTAAAGTTTGCCTTGCAAGAGGCTCTGTGGTCTGCTCTCCATGCAGTAGTTTCTGGGGTGTCAGGATCATTTTCATGCTCCCTGCACTTGATACAAACTTTGCTTAGGGGCTCAACATCTACCACTTTCCCTGTATCCATGCTAATAGCACTCACACAGCCATTTAAAGAAGAAAAGCCTCTTCTCTGCCATGTTCCATCAACAGACACTCCACATCTTGCTATGCCCTCATCTGAACCTGGCTTGATATCGTGAATCTCTCTTGCAGTATCACGCATTGTCTCCAGTGAGATCTTCTTTACTGCTCGGAGTATTTCTTTATTATGGCGAGCATATGGTGTAGGTCTAGGAGGTGGCGGCATGTTCATAAGTCCACAAAACCTCTTACCTGCCGCACGTCCACAACCAACAGATCTTGAAGCAAACACAAATCTTCTGTTTACTTCAAAGAAACGGCCTATTTGAGCTGAAGTAAAGAATTCCATAGACCAACCACACGAGCAGCAAAGCAAACGAAGATTCGAGGCACAACCTTTGCGTTTCATAGCTTGCTCTTGTAAAATTAAATCACAAACAAAGCATTCTTTGCATGGCATACATTCCATCACAGAAGACAAAATTCTCATATCTACAAACCGAAATCCACTTATGATTGACTCCTTACACTCCTTGATACCCTCAGAAGATGCGGTGGTCAGACCTGCTGGAATCTTGCGGGCAGAAGCTGAACATTCTTTCCCAAGACCTTTGGTGCTGACACTCGTTTTTTCCTTCTTCGAACGCTTCGATTCAGTAGAGTACTGGTTTCCACGATATTTACGCTTTTTTGTGTAACCAGAACGAGCCTTTGGTGGCATTGATAAATAAATTATCAAGCAAAATCGCAATAGGAATAGAGTGAACGAATACGACCAAAATGGTGGATGATAAGTTGGGAAATAGTGTCGCCACATATCATCCGCCATTTTGGGTGCTCGTAACTCACTGCATGTATGCCTGATTGAAATGTCAATAAACAACGGGAATAACCAGGGAGGGGTCCCAGGAGAAATTCCGTCGTTTCCTTTTGACTGCAACTGCGTTTTGTTTTCATAAACAAACCGTTGCTATGGTCGTTGCTAAGGTGAAAATTCATACTCGCTAAGGAATTTAGCAAAATTTTTGACTTTACCTCCTGAATATGGAAAAAAGGAAGCTGTAGAATGAAAGAGTAATGGTTAAAGATACCAAAAAGCACCATTTTCAAAATGAAAGTTTTTTGACAAAAAATACAAATTTTTGAGTGGAAGACCACCTTAAAAGGTAATGTTTATTCTATCCTGTCATCAGTTACGTTACTACGGAGTCACATGAGATGCGCGCGCATGCAGCTGGTCAGTGTTGGTTTGCTAGTTTAGATCTTCAAACTTTTATTTTCTACTTGTTAATACAAGGAAAATATCCACAATCCTGCGCTCCTTTGGAATCCTTTCGACAAAAATTCCAAGTTTAAGGTAGGTGGAAGTCCATGATTTTTATTTTTCCACAAATTTCAGCGAAAACATCAGGATGAGCGATTTAAATAATGCCGCCCCTGAAATGGATGAATCGCACGAGGACACCTCACGAAGCTCACAGAGCGCCGAGGAGGGCAGCCTTAATACACAGCCTTAATACTTCTACACTCGGAAGTTTTAAAGGACGAGGCCCTGTGAAGGGTTCTCGGGATATGGGTTATTTGGGTAAAAAATTATGGGGATAAACTTAAAGCATAAACTTTCCTTTTTCAAAATAAATTTCAAACTAGCTTTTCTTGATATTCGCACTTCACACGACCGACATCCAAAGTTTCATGACAGCAAATTTTGAATCCTTGTTGATCCTTGCAAACATTCTGGAGCATTAGGATTGAACTATAATACCCCAAAGTCTTTCGTTAACTTAAGATATCTGGGAAACAAAACTTTAAGAAATTAT